GTGTTTACCTGTAGATCTTTACAATTTTTCCAGGTAAAATTCTTCTTCAATTTCTTACTAAATATATAAATATATATATTTTGAACATGAGAGCAGAGAGATGAGAGGGAGAGCGTTAGAGAGAGAGAGAGCACCGGAGAGGGTGACCGACAACAGAGAACGAGGAAGGAGGATAGCACAGCGATATGAGGGAATTCAGCTAGAGAGCAGGAACCGTCCGATGGAATATTACGGGGGATTTGAGAAGAGGATATACAACCAAGCAATACCTTTCTTTTTCACAAATTTCCCTGAAGACTGGTCTTTTGAAGAGATGTGGGGAACTTTCAACAGACTGGGAGAGGGAAGGGTAATCGAAATTGATCGTCCGAAAAAGAGACACTGCCTGGGAAGGAGATTTGGTTTTGTTAGATTCTTGGAGGTCAGAGATGACAGAGAGCTGGAAAGAAAGCTAAACCAAGTTCATATTGGGGGCTTTAAACTTCAAGCCAACAAACCTAGGTTCCAGAAGACAGGGAATAAAGGTCAACAACAAATGAACAGGGAAACGGGATGAATGGGACAACTAAAGGTGTGGCTACATCAGAGGCAGAAACTCACCCGAAACTATCTTATGCCGAGGTAGTAAAAGGAAGAATGGCAGAAAACCAAGATCGGGGACAAGAAACGAAGCAATATCATGGAACAAGTAACAGAGAGCAGATCAACAAGGCCAGGACGAGTGAACAAAGAACATGGAGATGGAAGCCAAAACAGCAACATCAAGAATGGTCGGGAATGGAGTTTAATGTCAATTAGAATGAGTATGTATGGTTCCAAAATTGCTTTGTAGGAATAGCTCACTCAGTTACGATGATTCCAACTCTGTAGGAAAAATTCTTTATGGAAGGAATCTTCTTCTGCAAAATCAAAGCAATGGGAGGTAGATTGGTCTTGATGGAAGGACATGAGACAGGAGATTTGAAAGAGCTGGTAGAAAATTACAAAGAGTGGCTAGGACAGTGGTTTGAGGAAATCAAACCATGGACCCCGACGATGGTGGCAACAGAAAGGTTCGCATGGATTAGGTGTTTGGGTCTACCTTTACATGCATGGAAAACGAAATATTTCCAATCTTTTGGAAATCTTTGGGGTACATTCATCTCTGTGGATGATAGCACTAGCCAGAAAAAATGCCTTGATGTTGCCAGATTTCTCATTTCAACTCCTATAATGGAATCCATCTCAAATCACCTAACCATAAAGATTAATGGGGTGGTGTACAAAATCAAATTCTCAAAGGAGGAATCAAGTAATAGTCTGTATATAATGAATACAGACTTTAAAATAAAAGGCGATTACAAAAGTGAAGAAGAATGGCCAACAGAAGATTTGGAGAGTGAAGCAGGCCATGGTTTTCAATATTTTGACTCAGAACATACCAGGGGCGAGGAAGAAGACGATGACATGGCAACCGAATTGCGAGTGCCGGAGACAGGCGTGGAAGATGGTGTGAGAGCTTTGGAAGCATCGAACCATTCACTAGATGACACATCAACGGCGGAGTGGGTGAGTCAGCACATTAGAAGTAATAATAATAATAAAAAGAAAAAGAAAAGCACAGTTGAAAGGACAGAAGATGAAGCCTTTGTGACAGAAGGAATGGTCAGACTGTTTGAAAGGCTAAAGGAGAGGGCAGTGGTCGGGAAAGAAGGATCAACGGGATAGCATTTAATGCTTGATGGGCTCGAGGGGGATGTGAGAGGGATGGGAACAGATTCAGAAGACAACAAAGAAAACAAAGGAAGCAGAGGGACTTTCAAATTGGGAGCAACGGTTGAGGCTTCAGGGGAAAACAACATAGAATGTAGCACAAAAAGCAGCACGATGGAGCAGATGGGAGTACCAAATGGGCCGGTTGGGCCAGCAAAGGAAAAAACATTAGAGAAAGGGAAGAATGGGTTATAGAAGTATGGGCCAACTCATGAAATATCAAACCCATTAACATTGGGTAAGCTCAACAAAAAGAATGCTAGTAAACCAAGTCACGTGAGGAGTGAAGAAGTAAACAGCTTTTGGAAAGACCTTGACAGCAATTCAGAGGGGTGTAAGTCAGAGGGGATGCCGAATTAGACAAGAAAAGGAGAGGGAAAGAAGAAACCAAGACAGAAAAGAAGAGTAAAGACTTGCAGATCTGTGTATATACAATCAGGCGGACTCAGAGGCACTCGGCTGCAGAAAAAAAAGAAAGGGAAAAGGCTGGTGACAGAAAAAATGGAGCAGGAGGTGGCCTTCGAAGCAAACTCAACAGATCTGATAGCAAACGATTCAATAGATGACAGCAATATCCAGAATTGCAACAAAAGCATTGAGTTAGAGAATAGAAGTAGAGGCACAGAAGCTTTATGGAGACGCATCAAGGAATTGGGAGTATCAACAGAAGGGAATGAGATACTGGTGGTGCGAAAGCTAGAATAAATGGAGCAGAGGGATAGAGCAAGAAGAAAGAAGGACACGGTAAGCACTCTAACTAGAAATCAGGTGTCTACTAAGGTTCCATGATTTTGTTATCTTTAAATATTAGGGGCCTAGGAGGGGTGGGGAAGAAGAGGGAGGTTCGGGAATTGGTGATGAGGCACAGAGTAGAGATTTTGTTTTTGCAAGAAACAAAAATGGAAATAGTTGACAAACAATTATGTAGAAAACTATGGGACTCAGACAATATGGAGTGGGTGGCAAAATCATCTTCGAGAGCCTTCGGGGGGTTAATCATAATCTGGAATAGTGAAATATTCAAGAAAGTAGATGTTTTTGAAGGTGATGGTTTTCTTGGGATTTATGGGTTATGGGGACCTGATGCTCACTCGTGCATTTTGTGTAAGGTATACTCTCCGTGTGATTTGGAGAAAAAGAAAATTCTGTGGGAATCACTTCAACAGATAATAAAGAACAACAGGGGATGTTGGTGCATAGGGGGTGATTTTAATGCCATCAGATGTCTACAAAAAAGGAAGGGAGGAAGGAGTGCAAGGAGAGAAATAATGGGTTTTGAAGAATTCATTTTGAATAGCGGCTTGATGGATTTACCACTGTTGGGAAGGAAGTATACATGGTATCAACCAAATGGTCAATGTATGAGCCGCTTGGATAGGTTCTTGTTTAATGATGAATGGTTAACGAAATGGCTAGATTTGAAGCAATGGGGTCTCCACAGATCTTTGTCGGATCACAGCCCAATATTGGTAAAAAATGAAGCACATAATTGGGGACCAAAGCCATTCAAATTCTTTAATGCTTGGCTACATAACCCTAGATTTACAGAGATGGTTGCAGCAAAATGGAGAGAGACTTCAGTCCAAGGATGGGGTGGATTCATCTTGAAGGAAAAATTGAAAATGACTAAAGAGTTCCTTCGGGTTTGGTCAAAATCTTCATTACAAGAAGTGGATAGAAAGATTGAGGAATCTAAGGAGGAGATGAACAGAATTGATGAAAAAGCAGAAACTTGCAGCTTAACAAAAGAAGATCTATTTCTTAGAAGCTCACACTACACTAAGTTATTAAAGAATATGTAACTAAAAGAAGAGATGGCCCAACAAAAAGCAAGGAAAAACTGGCTGAAAACAGGAGACTTTAATACCAGTTTCTTCCACAAATGCATCAAAGGGAGATGGTGCAGAAATGAAATAAATGTAATCTCCATAGGGGGCAAAGAGCTGAGGCAAGTTGGAGATATAAAGCAAGGTGTAATGAAGTATTTTGAGAACTTATTTACTGATGAGGGATGGACAAGACCGAAGTTAGAGGGGCTCAAATTCAGAACCATTTCGGAGGCAGATAGATGTATGCTTATTGAACCTTTTACAGAGGAGGAAGTCAAAACAGTGGTATGGAATTGTGATAGCACCAAAGCACTAGGGCCAGATGGATTTACTTTCGGTTTTATAAAGAACGAATGGGAGGTGATCAAAGTAGATATCATGGAATTCCTCAAGGATTTTCACAACAATAGAAAACTGGTAAGGGGCTCTAATGCTTCTTTTCTCGTCTTGATACCGAAGACTGAGAATCCCCAAGGTGTGGAGGAGTATCGACCCATCTCTTTAATTGGATGCACTTACAAAATTCTTGTTAAACTGCTAGCAATAGGCTCAGCAAAGCATTGAACTCAATTATAGGAGAAAATCAATTTGCTTTTATTGAGGGAAGGCAACTTGTAGATGGAGTGGTTGTTGCAAATGAGGCGATTGATGGGGCACGAAAAAGAAAATCCTGGTGCTTTATTTTCAAAATCGACTTCGAAAAAGCTTATGATAAGGTGTGCTGGTCTTTCCTTGATTACATGATGGAGAGAATGGGTTTTGATATAGTATGGAGGGGATGGATCGCGAAATGCTTAAAATCAAACATGGTGTCTGTTTTAGTCAATGGAAGTGCTACCAAAGAGTTCTCGATGACAAGAGGGCTTCGACAAGGCGACCCATTATCCCCATTCCTGTTCCTAATGGTGGTAGAAGCTCTAAATGGACTAACTTCCGCAGTTGTTGCAAAGGGATACTTTTGGGGAGTCAAAATAGGAGATGGAGAGTTAGAAGTTAGCCATCTTCAGTTTGCAGATGACACACTTTTCATGGGAGAGGCGACTGAAGACAACGTTTGGACAGTAAAATGCATAATGAGGGCATTTGAATTGGTGTCAAGGTTGAAGATAAATTACAGAAAAAGCTCTTTAATTGGAGTGAATATAGATGAAGACTGGATCAGAAGCATGGCATGGATGATGAACTATAAAACCGAATCCCTCCCTTGTAAGTATCTCGGCATGCCATTGGGGGCAAACCCAAAGAGAATATCCACCTAGAAACCTCTAATAGACACATTCAGAAGAAAGCTCTCAGTTTGGAAAGGAAGACTCTTATCTCTCGGTGGACGAATTACCCTCATAAACTCTGTGCTATCCAGCCTACCAGTGTTCCTGATGTCGGTATATTTGCTCCCAAAACAGGTAATCCATGAACTTGATAAAATTAGGAGGAATTTTTTGTGGGGAGGGGTTGGGAAGAGGAAAATTTGCAACAATTGCTAGAGACAATAAAACACAAAAAACTAGTGCAAGGCGCAACAAACACTTGGTGCTGGAGTCTAGAGACCGGGGGAAGATATACCACAAGGATAGCCTATGAGCAGCTAGCAAAAAAAGAAGAGAACAGGCTGCTGGAGTACACAAAAATATGGGAGACGCAAGTCCCACCAAAAGTGAGTGCTTTCTCATGGCAACTACTCTTAGATATAATTCCTACAAAGGTTAATTTAGCAAAGCGTGGAATTTTGGATGCTAATTAAAATATAAAATGCTTTTGGTGTGATAAACTTCCTGAAGATACAGAACATCTTTTTCTAGCTTGCAGCATCTCCTACAATTTATGGACAAAATGTCTTAATTGGTGGGGATTATATTATGTCTTAGGGAACACTTGTATTGATGTTTTCACCCAACATAGATGGCACAAGGGATCAAAGAGCCTAAAAAAGCGATGGGGTATGTTATGGTTTACTGTAGTTTGGTCATTATGGTTAAGCAGAAATGAAACTGCTTTTCAACATAGGAAGTTAAATGAGGATAGGTTATTTGAATTAGTTCAAGCACACTCATTTCACTGGGTTAGAAATCTGTTGAATTTGGAAAATTTCTCCTTAATGGAATGGATTTCTAATCCAGTGAGATGCTTGACAAACAGGATACAGAGATTGGTTGGGAGTATTTGTTTTCTGGGTCCATTTTTTGGACTGGTGGGTGATTTTGTCTTGACCACAATGTCTACATGTAATTTCATATATTGATGTTTATGGGTTTGAATACCCCTTGTACTCACAATAAAATTCATTTGCTTTTCAAAAAAATATTTTTTGAACATGAGAGCATTTTGGGGGAATGGAGGATTTTTTTTTTAAGGCGGTAAGAATCGAACTCTCGACCAACTAAACCCATACACTAAGTCTTGAAAACAAAACATTGGACTCAAAGGCCGGTTCAATTTCTTACTAAATATATGACTAAGATGTATGGGAAAGAAGCCAACTAACCTAGATAACTGCATTGATGTCACTGTCAGTGAAGGGAGACTCAAGGTTTTCCATTCTCCTGAAGCTTTAAGAGAGAAGTAACCAAGTCCTCACTTGCTTATCCTTTTTCTACCTTTATTCCCTCTCTATGCTCATCAAGGATGCCAATGAGGATCCTATCACTCTCCCGAAGTAGGTTCTCAAGTTTGTGATTCATTCTACTCAACACTTGAAGCACTTTGATCGATGGATACATTTCTGCTAATTGAAACCAGTTGACATCTTGACAATTGCCTTCACCATTGATGCGTATGCATCATGATCTTTGCATGTACCACCAAAAGTTGCCCTGGATGTTATCCCATATGTCAAGGAAAAGAATTTTCTCACTAAGATTGACTTGGGATCCATCGTTTGAAGCTATGGCTTTGACAAGAGCTGACACCTCTTCCTTTTTGATTGATTGGAATGACTGGACCTTTTTTTGTGCTCAAGAGTTCTACCGTGCATATTTTTCTCAAATATCTCCATTAACTTCCATATGAGGCTAGGGCAATATCCCTGGACACTACTAGAATTCACAGCATCACCGAGAAGAAGCCATGTTGGAAAACAAAGGGGATCTTGTCAGTAAATAAAATTTTCAACAAGAATCATGTCAGTGATATTTGTGTCAGTGTAAGCCTGCTTGGTAATTAAATTACTGACGTGACTTAAACTCATGTCGGTAACTTTTTTCAAATTACCGACAAAAAGCATGTCTCTAATTGATTGTTGGATCGTACCATCGGAGCTCATTCTAGGTGAGTCACGTCGGTAAATTACTGACGAAATATATCTCTATAAATATTCACCAACAAAGTACAGTTGGAACCTAGACATTCATTTATCGACAAGAACTTTATCTGAAACTTAAACTAGCAATTTACAAAATAATTAATAATTTACGTCTGAAAATTGTCACCAATGAAACTGTGGTCTAAACCAAATCTTAATTTATCGACAAAACTATAATCGAAAAATTAGGTTACCAATTTGTAAAAAAAAATTATATTATTTCTGTTCATTTACCGACAAAACTCTAATCGGAAAACTGGTTTACGAATTTGTTAAAAAAAAAATTACATTATTCCTGATTCTTTTATCAACAAATCAAAAAAAAAAAAGGGATATATGAATCGGCAAAAAAAAAAATATTTACAGCCCAAATATAGACAAAAGTACTGTTGATACCAAAATTTCATTAATAAATATTAAAATTAATATATATTTATTTAATTTAATTAATTTACTGTTATATATTATTTAATTTATAACATT